GCTTCGGATTACCTCGGGTATTGATTTCTGACAATGGCAAGCAGTTCGAGGACATCAAATTCCAAGACTGGTGCCAAGACATGGGAATCCTACAGAATTTTACTTCAATCGCACACCCTCAAGAAAATGGTCAGGCAGAAGTCACGAACAGAGCCATCCTTCGCGGACTAAAGGCAGGGCTGGACCGAGCTAAAGGATTGTGGGCAGATGAACTACCTAGTGTTCAATGGGCCTACCGGACCACGGAGAAGACCGCCATGGGAGAAACACCCTTCAATCTCACCTACGGCACCGAAGTAGTGATTCCTGCAGAGATCGAAGTACCTATGCTGCGACTAGAAGCATACAGTGACCAGACAAACGAAGATGAGCTATGTACCAACCTCGATCTACTCGACGAAGTAAGGGACCTCGCGTACATCAGGACAGCAGCCTACTAGCAGAGAGTAGCTCGGTACTATAATGCCAGGGTCAAGAAGCAGAACCTCCGCGTAGGCGACCTGGTCCTTCGTAAAGTTATGGTACCTGAGCCCGGCACTGGCAAGCTCGGGTCCAACTAGGAAGGTCCTTACCGAGTGAAACGAGTGCTCGGGGAAGGAACATACGAGCTCGAGACTCTCGAAGGGAAACAAGTACCTCGGGCATGGAATATTGTCAACTTAAGACAATACTATCTGTAAGAACTGAGTAGGCCACGAGCCACTCTCAAAGCCTAAGGGCCAGAATACCGAGCTAACATGACCTCGGCGCAACAGAACCCAGTCGCCTTTACAGCATGGGCAGACTCCGAGAGTGGGCCACGAGCCACTCCCAAAGCCTAAGGGCTAGAATACCGAGCTAACATGACCTCGGCACAACATGACCCAGTTGCCTCTATGGCACGGGCAGACTTCGAGAGTGGGCCACGAGCCACTCCGCCAGCCTAAGGGCTAAAACGCCGAGCTAATGATAAGACATCGGCAGCATATAAGAACTAGTCGCCTCATCGGCGTAAGTTGAGTACTTGCAATGACTAAGGTGCAGGCAGTTCAGGATGGGTCGAGCATGTGCCCTACTACGTCATTCACCTCGATGTGCCCAACCGCATCACCCCTGCTAAACATTAAGAGGCGGTTCGGGCCGATGGCAGTTGAGGAACACCCACTTCGAGAATTTAACTCGATAAGATAACAACTTGGAGTGAGACAACCATTCCGGCAAAAAACAAATTGCACAAGCACTTGGCAAAAAATATTCCATCATTACATTACTTGAATATGTATAGTACAAAAGAGAAGGGGATCGAGCTCGCAGGCCCAAAATACAAGGCGGGCCTGATTATTTGGGAGGCTCATCGGCCTTACTCAGGGTTTCTTCAGGGGTCTCCTCGGAGGAATTAGTCAGATCGGTGGCGTCAGCCTCCCCGTTGCCGCCATCATCTTCAGAGTCTAGATCATCTGCGGCCTGACGTGCCATGTCATCCGTGATGTTGAAAGAAGTGAAGGCACTTATATCCAGGTTGGGGTAGGCACGCCTTATCCACCATCGGCTGAGCTTGAACCCCCTACAGTAGGCCTTTGACATTACATTGTCGAACCTCGAAGACTTGACGTAATCGATGACGGACTAAACCTTGATCTGTTCCAGAGCGTCGTGAAAGATCTCCGTCTTCTCCTCGATATCGGCATTGAGAGACTCCACCTCGCACTCTAAGGCCTCCTTGGTTTCCTTAAGGACCTGTATCTCGAGCTGCGAAGCCTTCTGGGCCATTTTGAGGCTTTCCACCTCGAGCTTTAGGGCTTCTTGACCAACTTGGAGCCCGTTCACCTCAAACTTCAGTCTGTCTCGTTCACGGGCCAGCTCCTCCCTCTCTAGCGCCAAGGCGTCATTCAGGCTCCTCTGAGCGGCGGCAGCACCCTCCAACTGATGGACCTTGTCCTGTGCTGCCTTCAGCTCGACATGGGCCACACGAGACGACTCTTCGATAGCCAAAGCGCGCCTCAGGTGTCTGTCACATTGTAGAGTCAAGGCGTGAATGGCAGTGTTCGCCTGACAGAAGGAGATTGGTCAGCGAAAAAAAAAATGTGAACTTACCACCATGATGTGGGTTGCGGCGCGGCCCCCGAGCTGACCTGGGGAGAGTTCGGCCCAACTCACGACTTCTGCATTGATGATGCCCCTCTTACTTCGGTCGAGGCTGACCTCGGGATCCAAGATGGACTCCTCCTCTCCGATCCTCAAACTGGACGCCTCCGCATCTGCAGCATGGTGAGCCGACTCTTCGGTGGCCTCAACAGCCGCCCCAGTAGAGCTCGGAGCCTCAGCGGTGGCCCCGACCGACTCGTTCACCAACCCCTTCGCAGTCTCAGGCTTTTGGGGCGGAAAATCATCCTCCAGATCTATCGCTGGAGGGGCATTGTTGAGCTCGGTCTCAGGGGTAGGAGCCTGGGAGTGATCGGGTTTGGGGGAGGGAGCCCTCGGTGATCCCACGCGAGCCTTTTTGGCGGCCTTCTTGGTAGTCCGTTTTTTCCTCCTCTTCATTTGGTTGAGGAGCCTGGTGGCTGTGATTCTCTCTTCCTCATCCATGAATCCTACAACAAAGTTGGCATTAGTAAATCCAAAGACAACAAGCGGGTAAAAGCAAAGCGCCAAAGGACATAAATAAACCTACCCGGGCTCAAACCGGCCTGAACGAGCTTCTCTTCTGTGATGTATTCCCGATGATCGAGCTCAGCCTGAGCCCATGAATGGAAGGTCTCCCACGTCTGCTGGTTGAGGGCGATGCTGGTAGCCTGAGTAGCCACCCTCCAGCTGGTGAGGAAGGGCACCCTGTGCTGGCTTGAACCACGAAGTAGTCCCGCTTCCAAGCCGGGACCTTGCTCGAGAACTTATGCAGTAGCTTAAAGCCTGGGCGAGGAGACAAGTAGTAGACCTACCCGTGCTCGGGGGGAGCGCTAGAGGCACTCTTTTTTATCAATAGTATGGGGCAGAGTATGTCTGCATCCAAGGACAATTGCTTTTCGTGGCAGAGGGAAGTGGTTCCCACCAAATTCCGAATAGAGTTGGGGTGGAGCTGATCCAGCGTGATGCTGAAACGCACCAACACCTCGGAAATAAGGGGGTGAAGGGGGAGGCGAAGCCCACCGACGAGCTGTTCTCTGAAGATCACGACCTTGTTCCGACCGTGCTCCCAGGGGAAATTGCCGGTGGGAATACTGTAGGGGTATTCAGAAGGGAGGTTGAACTGTTGAACGAGGTCTTGAAGCCTCTTCGGCGTCAGGGTAGAGGGATCGAACTGGTCCAGCACCCGACCTCGATGAGAAGTGGGTGCCAACTTACCCGAGGCTGCCTGTGCCTCGCGGGAAGGTCGAGCCGGGGAAGGGTCACCATGACTCGAGGTGCCCGCCTCAGGCTCATCCGAAAAGCTACTCTCGCTAGACATAAGGGAAAACGGGCTGAGAAAAGAAGTAAGGAAAAAGGAAAGACTCAGGGACTCACCGGAAATAGGCGAAATCGAGCTGAAAGACCGAGCTGGAGACCTTAGATGCGAGCTCAAGGCGAAAAATGCTTAGCAGCGAAGAGAATGCCAGAACCCTGCTATTTATAGACGCGGGGCCCGGTGGCCAACGGTCAAGATTGGATCAATCCAACGGACCTCAAAGAAACCGGTCGCGGGACTCTCAATGTGAATTTGATTTAGTGCGTTTTTTGGCGTTCGCACAGCATAAAGTGCCTGACGTCCGCGCGTGAGTTGCACGAGACATGGGTTTTTTTCCCCCGTAAAAGAACCGAATACCTAGTCGTTAAACCGTCTAACGTGGTAGTGTGAGTAACCGAGCCAGATTTGCCCAACGAACCGTGAACTCCCCGCACTGGGGCCTCGTCCCCAGCACGGGGAGTGGGGGGCAATTGATGGAGGACGATTTGGCCCAACCCCATGGACCAAGAACACGTGTGCATGACCTGGCTTGGTGAACAGTCCAGCCTGGCAGCATGATCTCGACTCGACGGGAAGGAAACGCCAAGACAAAAATTGACAACTCACCGAGGACTAACACCTTGGTGAGTTTGACTCCCGCCTAGCTCGGAGAGCCCGGGCTCCCACCAAAGGAACCCCAAGCTTTCCTCCGCCTGAGAGGGAGCACCTCGGTGCTTCCAGGCAGGGACCGATCTGCCCCAAAGCAGCCCAGTATGTGGTAGCTCGGCAAGTTGCATGAAGGAGGGCAGGAGGATCTCCTGCCCAACCACCGTACCCGACAAATCTGGTGACAGCAGCCATGTCCCCCGTTAGGCAACGTCGTGCCTGCCACCTTTAGAAGGTGTCGTACACCTAACAAGCACGTACCCTGCGGGAATGGCCCTGCGCGTGCCCAGTAACGGCTGCGGCAGGTTGGCAGTGGCGGTTATACCCGCCCTGTCAGAAACCAGGGGGCCAGGGGCAACCGATTTCTGCTATAAGGAGTTTAGTATCAAGGAGAACAAGTATGATTTTGATTATCTTCATCTTCAATATTCGTGCTATCCGCACTCTTAGCCTTCTTCTTCTCCTTGCTTCTCCTACCAAGTACTAACTTAATCATCGAAGTGTTCCCGCCGGGTAACTCCCCCCAGGACTCTTCTTCTTCTCAGGTATCTTTCAGGAGCCACGTGAGTACCAACTAGGAGTGGCTGGATTGCGCTACATCAGATGTAACTAGACCCGGTCCAAAATCCAACCCGATTACAGCTTAGTGTAAACCTCAAAGCTATTTAAATTTACAACTTATTCTTTCTTTAATTCTGTTTTACAATTTTGGGCCAGCCCATTACCCAGTAATACTATGTTGGGTTGGGGCCTACAAACTTCGGGAGTCTGCATATGAGAACCTGAAGTTTTCAGGCTTGGGTTGGACTGGAGTCTACCAAAGCCTGAATCTAAACGGCCCAATTCTGACCGCCACAAAATTTTCATTGATTGTATTTTACTAAAATAACCCGCGTGGATGGCAGACCCAACCGCCTAATTCTAAACCCCTAATAAAATCCCAAAGCCCTACAATTGCAGTCGTAGTCGGTTTTCTTCCATCTCTCCCAACCATCCGCCGACGATCAACAATCGTACATCAACCTTCGACGGCGACGATACCTGGTAACCTCAGTCTCTCCATATCACCATGGTTTTCGCCTCCTGCAATTTCAGATAGAGGAAATGTTGCGTTTTTCTAGAAAAGATTGTTTAGTTCGTAAACAATTCCATCTATTTTCTATGCGTATTTTGGCTACTCATAGTCTTACTTTTGGTTTTATTGATTAAGATCCCTTTATGGTGTTTGGTTTGTTAGAATTGTTACTCTTCTAGATTGCCATGCAGCTTGAAAGTTTTGTTTTTCTTTTTCAGGATCAATTTTTGTGCTTTTAAGCTGATTTTGACATGGCTTTTTCAAACGTTTATCATGTTTTTTTGGTTTTCTACCTCTAAATTAAGGTGGATGATTACAATTTTCAGCTATTTCAAGTTTCAAACAATTTTGTTTGCATCGTTGTTTTTCTTCGTTAATTCTTGTGATTATGCCTTTTGTTTTCTTCCATTTTCAATACTTCACTTTTCTGAGGACGTGTGCCTAGTTTAGATGGCTAGAGTAATTTGAAATAGATGGATTTTTACCAGGAGATCTCATATACGGATCCATGAAATGGGTATCTCTGGGAATACCTTCAATCAGTTTACATTAATTATGTTAGAGAGCAAAGGAAGGTTTTTCTTTTTTCAATTTAGGTAATTTTCTAACTTTTTCTTCTATGTTTTCCTCTAGGTTATTCAAAGTCATATTGGGTGTGTTAGAAATGGCTGAAGAAGCGGGTATGTTCAGGGTTCATCAAACCATTGGTAGTGTTCTGTGTTGCAAGTGTGGGATCCCTATGACACCAAATGCTGCTAATATGTGTGTCAAATGTCTGCGTTCTGAAGTTGACATCACCGAGGGTCTACAGAAGCATGTTATTATCATGCATTGCCCTGAGTGTGACAGTTATTTGCAGCCACCCAAGACTTGGATAAAAGCTCAGTTGGAGTCAAAGGAGCTGTTAACATTTTGTGTGAAGAGGTTGAAGAACTTGAATAAGGTTAGGTTAGTACATGCAGAATTTGTTTGGACTGAGCCTCACTCCAAGAGGATCAAGGTGAAGCTGAGAGTTCAGAAGGAGGTTCTTAATGGTGCAATACTCGAACAAGCTTATGTTGTTGAGTATGTTCAGCAGGACCATATGTGTGAATCCTGTTCTAGGGTCCAGGCCAATCCTGATCAGTGGGTGGCATCTGTCCAACTTAGGCAACATGTTTCTCATAGGAGGACTTTCTTTTATTTGGAGCAGCTTATCCTGCGGCATGATGCTGCTTCTCGTGCCATAAAAATTAAGCAGATGGATCAGGGCATTGACTTCTTCTTTGCTAATCGGAGCCATGGTGTAAAATTTGTGGAGTTCTTGGGTAAAGTTGCCCCTATAAGGAGCCGCAATGATAAGCAACTTGTATCCCATGATCCCAAGAGCAACAACTACAACTACAAATACACATTCTCTGTTGAAATATGCCCAATTTGCAGGGAGGATCTGATATGTCTACCCCCAAAAGTGGCAGCTAGTTTGGGAAATTTAGGTCCACTTGTGTTGTGCACCAAGGTGACTAACAGCATGGTTCTATTGGATCCATTTACTCTACGGCATTGTTTTATGGATGCTGACCAATATTGGCGGTCTCCCTTCACATCTCTACTCTCAAGTAGGCAGCTAGTGGAATATATAGTGTTGGACGTGGAGATTGTCTCCCCTGAAGTCAATGTTGGAGGTTCTAAATATGTTTTAGCTGATGCGCAGGTGGCACGAATGTCTGATTTTGGAAAAAATGACAAGATTTTCCATATAAGGACACATCTAGGTCATCTTTTAAACCCTGGAGATTATGCTTTGGGTTATGACCTATATGGAGCTAATAGTAATGATATTCAGCTTGACAAGTATAAAGGTCTTGTCCTTCCAGAGGCAATTTTGATAAAGAAGAGCTATGAAGAGAAGCGCCAGAGGAAGCGTGGGAAGCCTCGTCATTGGAAACTCAAATCCCTAAACATGGAGGTAGATAGCACTGCTAAAGGTAGAATTGATGAAGATAAGATGAACAAGGAGTATGAAGAGTTCTTGAAAGACTTGGAGGAGAACCCTGAATTGAGATTTAATATATCATTGTACCGTAATAAAGAAAACCAGCCATCAGAGATGGCATCAATGACTGATGGGGAGGATGTGCCTTCTGTGCCATTGGAGGAGTTGCTTGCTGATCTTGATCTGAGCGATGATGAAAATGGGGATGACAGCATGAGGGAGTGATTTGCAGATTGTCGTCCTTAGTTGGACTTTGCTTTCATTTTTTGCACCAATAGGTACATAATGACTTAAGCTTTTTTTTTCTTTGTGATATTTGTTATGCAGACACTTCCAAATGGGGCCAGAACCCATCTCTGGGAGAATGTCAATCTGACTGGATGACTTTCGTATTTTCACTATTCACGCAGAGCCATAGATATGGATGTTATGTGGCAAGACCCTGAAATCCTGAAAAGTGGACTTCCTAGCTGTACTTTATTTATGGATGTTCAATGGCAATCTGAGATCCTTATGAGTAATCTTGGGGGCCACTTGGGCAATATTTTATTGAATTAATTCTGGTCCATTTGGTACAGGAAACTCCCTTATAGCTAAACTTTTTCTAATTACAAGAGCTAAAGTAGGCATTTTATCGGGTGGTTTCATTTGATTGGGGGGGGGGGGGTTGCCAAGTTGTGATCAGTTATTTGTTGGCTAGATCAGGTGGCATTTGGGTGACAAATATCAAATTAAAAAGCAAGATCCTTTAGGCCAAACTCATTGAGATGGATCCTAGAACAGTTAATGAACTTGCAAACCCTGTTGGTTGAGAGAGGATTCTGTGGGGACTATTGGCCTTGAAGTGGTCCCTTTCACATTTATAGAAACTCTTTGATAGAGTTGCAGATAAAAATGATTGTTCTGTATGTTCAATATTCTTGCTCATCTTGCATGTTACTAAGTTTGAAATAGGAGTAACTTGTGCAGCATGGGTCTGTTTGTGACATGATATGTGGCTAACTTATTAAATGTAAAAGATGAACAAGTATGTGACATGATATTTTAGAAAGTAAAGATAGGCATGTTTTTGTTTGCAGCCTTATGGCTGACTATATACAATATCTTTATTTATTTAATTGTTTTTTAGTAACAGCATGCCTTGTCTTTAGACATCAGCTAATATCTGTATCGGTTTCATGAAGTGAGGTGCTCTGCTTGATTCTTTGTTATTAGGGTTAATTACTTTAAGTACCCCTGAACTATCTTACAATTACTTATAGTACCCTGAGCTTACATGTGACATCACGTGATTTTGTCCTTACCACCAATTACTTAAAGTACCCCTGAACCCCATCGTACAATTACTTATAGAACCCCTGAGCTTACATGTGACATCACGTGATTTTTTCCTTGCCACCAATTACTTAAAGCACCCTTGAACTATCCTACAATTACTTATATTACCCCTGAGCTTACCCATCTGTTAGTTATACATTGCATTCTGTTTACATGTGACATCATGCGATCTTGCCCTTACCACCAACCTTACCTGTTTTAGAGGCCTGTAAAATTTCCCCATAGAACCAATGTAGTGCGAGAAGTGAAGCATTGGTAGCACACCTTCTTGCCTTGGGATCAGAAGAATTTCTTCAAAGGACAAGAAGTATGAGAGGCCTGAAGCTTTGGCCCCTGTTTACAGATGTAGGTTCTCTCATTGGAGATGATGGGAGTTCGCTTGATGGGGATAAGATGAGTTATTCAGGCCTCTAAGAACGTTTTGGAGCTCTTTTAATTTGTATAGGGGGTCAGATGATTTAGCACACCTTGCCTTGGGATCAGAAGAATTTCTTGAAAGGACAAGAAGTACGAGAGGCCAGAAGCCTTGGGCCCTGTTTACAGATGTAGATTCTCTCATCGGAGATGATGGGAGTTCGCTTGATGGGGATCAGATGAATTATGCAGGCCTCCAAGAACGTTTTGGAGCTCTTTAATTTATATAGGGGATTTAGGGTTTTGGATCATTTTTTTCACTTGGATTATGCTGAAAAATAGGATTACTTGCCCACTGTTCATCCATGAATTTTTTCCATTGAGATGGGTGTAGTGCATGAGAGAGCAAACCTAATTGATTCAAGGTCAAAACTTATTTGTTGGCTCCACCACCCAATTGAGAATTTGTTATATGAAAAAAAGTTTTAAAAACAATGTGCTCTTTATTTGTCGAGGATCCATTGCTTGTATCCTTGGCTTTTTTTTTTTTTTTCATTTTCCATAGCTATGAGATTTCGGTTCCATTGTGGATTTGGTAACTAGGTTTTCCCCCTGTTTCCACAAGGTCTATAATCTACAACATAGTGTTTGTCTTGATTTTGTTGTGATTTTTCATTTCTTTTTTTTTTTGTAATTATTTTCTGCTTGTGGTCATGGTAAATAGGGTGTTTACTATCTGTTCTCAGAAGAATCCGGACATGAATGTGCGTCTTCCTGGTCAAAGGAGAGGATGGTGGAAGACAAATAAATTTTCTCAGCCATATGCATCTTGTGCTGAGTGGGAATGTGACAGGAACAACAGGGAGAATTAAGGGTCCGTTTGGTTTGCAGTTGGAATTGGAATTAGAATCAGAATCAGAATCGAAATGATCTATTCCTATAGTCTATTTGGTTCAAACAGGAATGGGAATGGGAATTTGAATCAGCAGGAGTGAAATTTCATTCCCAAGGGAGAGAGAGGGAATGACCATTCCCTCAAATGGGAAAATGCCATTCCACCAGGAATGAGAATGGGATTTTGATTCTACCCAACCAAACAGTTGGAATCGGAATAATCCATTCCAATTCCGATTCCAGATCCTTATTCTCGCAAACCAAACGAGGTCTAAGGCGTTTTCACCCATGCAGAATGAAAAGGGCATCTGTTGCAATTTGAGTTATATTTTGAAAATTTGAAGAATATTTAAGAGTATAAGAGTCTCTGTCTAATTTAAGGGAAAGATAAAATGAAATGTGAATTTTCAAAAGTTTAAACTTTAGGGATTAAGTAATTGTACGGGTACTTTAATCAATTGGCATGGATCTGTTTGCAAATTTTGATTTTACTAGCCATATGACTGTTTATAACAGTAGCGGTTTCCATATGCTTATGGTGATTCCTGTGATAATAAAATGCAGCTGACCCTTGCGATGACTTCGTCTTTGTGACTTAGTGTTCAACAACCTCCCTGGCAAATCATGCTATATTTTCTTATATAAACAAACGTTCTCTTTGTTTATCAGAAGGAACTGCTTGACGCTATTACTGCTGAGTCGCACACTTGGTTTGTGAGCGAGATGGTAATTGGTTCCATTACACCTTCGCATTTTAGGGAACATGAATTGGCGAGGTATGCTGCGTAAGAGTCAGAATACAAGGAATGAAGGTGTGCTTGCATTTCAAGCAAGGAGCATAATATAGGATCAAGGATGTAATAATTTAAGTCGGTGCTTTACATTGTTTCTTGGACTGAGTGTATAGAACACATCTCTTGAATCTCGTTGTTCATTTCTTGTCAGATATATTACTTGATTATTAAATATTAATTAATGATAGGTATAGTTTTTTGAGGTTACGGATGTGTGGTATTGGTGGAATGGGCAAAATTCAACTTCATTCCACTCATATCTTAAATATGTTGATTTCATTTCGGGTTCGGTTTTAGTAAAACCTTGTAGGCGGTCAAATACAGGTGATTTGGTAAAGAAGTATTTGACCTAAAATGGTTGGACTATTGATTTATTCGATCTGGTGATTGGGTCATTGGTTATACTCTAAATGTAAACTTTAGGAGGTTATAATTTTCCATTCTGATGTCCAAATAAGGTGATTTTTATGGGTAATTTTTCAAGATTTATGTATTCCGAAGTGTCATTGGGATTTTGTTCTGTTATTTTCGTAAAAAAATATAATTTTTTTTTATAAATAAAAAGATTTAGAACATAATAAAAAAATATAAATTAAATATAAACTAATCTATTTTTACCTGGACTGTCGAGTTGGTGACCCACAACCCGGAGGTTAGCCTCTGGGTCAGTTTTTAAAACATTGGTTTTAACTATTAGGAATCGCATAACCTCTCAAAAATCTTATTCACTAAAAGACAATAATAAGCCTTTCAGTTCAGAATCTTCAGATGTTATCAAACGGTCCCTAAGAAAACTATCAATTAGATCCGGTTTAGATCTTTTATCAATGTTTTTCCACATCGCCAATTCCTGAAGCCTATCAAACATTGGGATGGTACTTAGAGATACACCAATAGGGCTCAGTACTTCATTAACATTATTTTTTATCAAGTAGTGCATTCAATGAATTGAATAACGATACAAATTGGACCATGTTAGGCCAGATGTGGGCAAGAGCAGAGTAATTGAGGATACCTATACTGTTAGGCAACAATTCATAGAATTTCTTGCTGATCAAACATTGCACACACTCAGCTGGAAAAAAATGATGCTTAATGATGTAATAGTAAGCCTCAAAATATGCTCTTATTAGGGATGTCAATGAATTGAATTGTGGTACATCTGATCAGATTGGGCTAGCAGTGTGTCTTAAATGGCATCCTTAGATCAATTTCTGAATAATGCAAATAGAAGGGCTAACCCCGTTACACAACTCTATCATGGCAACATTGAGAACCAAACAGAAAATAAACCCAATGTACATATCTTGTCCATCAGTTTCCTCTCTAGTGAGTAGTGAGAGACTCATCTATGGGCCCATCTGAACAATCAGCCAATAGGCTAAGCATATGTCTTCCTAAATGAAGTGATGCAGTTGATATGCCTTTTTGATAGTCGATATGGTTCTTGAGTAAATTCCTCTATCCTATTATTACTTGTGACATGATAAATTGTTGGATTTTCTACATCTCTAGCCTAGGATAGTTGTTCTACCTAAATACAGACAAGAGTCATCTAATGGCTTAATTCCAAAGGAGCTCTATTTTTTGTGCTCAAGATAACTTGGGACTATAAGACCTCCCACCTTTCTTTGAGTGGTTGACTGGTATGATGATTTACATATATATACAAGTGAAAGTTCACAATGAAAGGAAAATTAAGGGTCTGTTTGGTTTACAGTTGAAATAGGAATCGAAATTAGAATCAGAATCGAAATCCTTTAGAAATGGAATTGGAATGGTGTATTCCCATAGTTTGTATGGTTCAGACAAGAATGGGAATGAGAATTGGAATCAGCAGGAATAGGATTTCATTCCCAAGGAAAGGGTAGGGAATGGCCATTCCCTCGATTGGGAGAATGCCATTTCAGTAGGAATGGCAATGGGATTCCAATTCCACCCCAACTCCAGACCCCTATTCCTGCAAACCAAACAGGGTCTAAGAGATAACAGAACACTAAGATAAATACTAAGATGGATAAAACACATGGATAGAGTTGGTTGGAGATAACCCATATCCCTATCGGGTTCGTTGGCTAACACCAGGCATTGCATGTTTCTTTGGCAGGCTCAATTTATGTAAGCCTCGACTCAATCTGATTATATGGATTGGACTTAAGTTTTCAGGGTCTGGACCTGGACTAGAAAACTCGGGCCTGACTTACACTTGTATTGGGTTTGAGTGGAAGCCTCAAATAGCCTGAGCCCAGCCAAACCCAAATCCCCCCAAACAAATACATACATATATGGATTATTATATATATAAAAATTTCCTTTCTTTTTCCTAATTACATATACATGTATATATGTATAAAATATGCATTTATATATGTTTATAAATGAGATTTGTACATATTTTTGATCAATTTACTCTTAAGTTAGTCCATAGAGGCCAATAAAAAAGGCTACAAAAATATATATACATGCATAAATTCTTTTAAACCTATCATCCTGTCTAAGCTCGGTCCGACTTGTGTTGGGTTATTCTTGGGTTGGGCCTGGACTTATAAAATGGGGCTTGAATCACTTGGCCTCGAATTAGGACAGGCCGAGACTGAGGTTTCCACCATTATGGTTGGACATGGGTTGACCTTCAACCATAGCAGTCACTAACTCCAGCCCCTCAACTAAGAATTTATCATCCGAATTTACCATCAAAATTCGAACTAGAAGCAAAAACCTGCCAACTAAAACAAAATTTCTTGCAGTCTCTCTCTCTCTCCCCTAGTTTTCTTAACCACATTATTACGATGGAGAAATAACATTTTATGTTGATTTAAGTTATTTGAGTAATGCTGGCAAAGGCTTTCAAAAACAGATTAAAAATGCAGCACCTTGCTAGAGCTTGAACCATCTGAATCTAAAAAGAACATACGGAGGAATTCCATGTACATAGAAAATTAGCATAATTAAGATTTTTTATTAGGATGTTGGAGTGGATTTACTAAGGACCCATTTGGTTCACAGGAATAGGGGTTTTCCGATTTCCGAGTCACAATTAACAGTGACACATGTCTCCAAAGTTGGTCAAATTCCCATTTGACTCCAACACTGCTAAGAACGACACTTTGAAGAAGATTGAAGGAAGAAAGGAATGGTGGGAGGCGCTAGAATGGGATGATGAAAGCAGCAAGTCCAATTTCCAACAATATTTCACCGACATAGAAAAGTAGCAGCAAGGTAATAAAGTAATTAACCCTCATGAGGGATTTTATTGTTTGTAATGTAGTTTAGGACGATGATAATCGTGACTTTTAATTTTGTTATCCCTATTCCCTACCCATCTGATTCCAGTCGAACTAATTAATTTATTAATGAGCTTTCCTAAAACAAAATAAATGATAATTCTTTTCCACTCCAGTTTGTGTGAAAATGGGCATATATATATATGTGGATCTTATTTATCAATTATTGGGCTTAGGGAATAAAAGAGAGGTTAGTGAATTAAATAAATAAATATTTATCAATTATAACTTATTTAATTTATTAAAATAAATAAATGAATAATTTAATTAAATAAATATTTCATTTATTATTGGGACAGGATAGGTACAAGCTATCCCAAACCGACTTAACCTTTTGATATTACGCTCAAGGGGGGGGGGGAGAGAGAGAGTAGGGCGGGAAATTCATAGGGGCAATATAGAATAAAGTAGTAGAATCCCTAAGCTTTTTTAATTAAGTTTCTTGGAAAAAATTACTTAAAATAAATAAAAAATTAAACATATTTTGATATAGGGTCTAGGTAGGGCAGGAATTTCACTCCACATCCCCATCACTTTCCTCAATCAAGTATCCCTATTAATCCCCATCCTTATTAGTAAAACAAGTAAATAAAGAAAAAAAAAGTTTATTTATTATTGAGATGGGATTCGTACAGGTTATCTCAAACTAGACCCAACCCGTTAACAAAATAACAACCCTAAATATTGGACTCGGGAAGAGAGAAATAATTTGTTAGTGAAATAAATAATTAATTAATTTAATAAATTTGTAAATTAAATAAATAAAAATTTATAGATAATAATTTACTTAATTTATTAAAGAAAGTAAATGAATAATATAATAAATATTAATAAATCTTACGGTGACATAATTATAAATAAATTATTTAGTAAAATAAATATAAAAATAAATAAATTAATATATAAATAAGGAGATACATGACAAGTTATCGTTATTTTGTTTTATTAATGGCATCATTATAAATAGTTACGGTATTCAAAATATCTATTATAACTTTTATAATTTCATTAGATTAAATTATTTGTTTTACCAAATTTCATTTATTTTACAAAATAAAATTTTTATTTATTATTGGTTTTGTATTAGAAATCTATTATTCATTTTTTCCAATATTATTCTTTCATTTATTAGGAATCTATTATCGGTTTTGTACCCTTAAATGCAAAAAAATATTACAAATAATGTTAGTATGTATATGTATTGTTTAATTTAGAAAAAAAATTATAAAGATTAAAGAAAATACACAATAAAATWAACAATTCATATTAAAAACAATATATATGTAATAAAAAGAAAATATTTATTTTTCTAAGTACCTTGTCAGTGACGTCTGGCCCCAAGTGGCTTGTGACTCAGGGGGTCCCTGGTGTAGTGCAACTCGATTGCTANGAAGGTAGGAGAGGACACCCTGAATTGTGATCCAGACATACGTCAGCTAGCCAGGGATGTTGTGAAGGAGTGTGGTGGGTTGCCCTTGGCTCTCATCACCATCGGCCGCGCCATGGCAAGCAAGAGGACTCGTCATGAGTGGGAACACGCTATCACAGTGTTGCAGAAATCTCCAGCAAAGTTTTCAGGTATGGAAGAGAAAGTGTTTTCAATTTTGAAGTACAGCTATGATGCCTTGCCAAATGATAAAGTTAGAGATTGTTTCTTATACTGTTCCCTCTTTCCCGAAGATCTTCCTATTAATATCAAACGAATCATAGAATATTGGATTGGGGAAGGATTCATAAAAGGAAATGAGGAAATGAGGGAAGCAATGAATGAAGGATATGATATCATTGCAACTCTAAAACGAGCCTGCTTGTTAGAGCCCAGTGGGAATTATTATTTGGAGAGCAGAGAATTCGTAGAGATGCATGATGTGATCCGGGACATGGCATTATGGATTATCAATGACTATGGAAGGAATGATAAGAAGAAGCATTTGTTGGTAAGGTATGAAGAGTTGATGGATAAGCTTATCTTCGAAAGGCAGGGCGCCAGCAGGATATTTACGCTACCTCCACGTTCTCCTTATAATAATAGTGAGAGTGATGCAGAGCAGCAGCAAATTAAAGATGAGGTGGTCGTCCCTCCTGATGAAGACTATCCCAACCTTATTCCAATTGCAACCTTCTTAGTAGTCTATGGTCCAAGGAAGGAATTCCCTACTAGCTTGTTCCGATCTACCAAGTCTCTTAGAGTTTTGGATTTATCTGGTTTTTTATTTGGAAAAGTAAAGTTCCCAACTGAGATTGTTGAATTGGCTGAATTGGAATACCTCAATCTCTCACATACCAATATAAAGGAATTGCCATACGAGTTGGGAAAGTTGAGGTACTTGAATTTGTATGAAACAAGAGATCTTCATGTGGTTTCAGTTGAGGGGATCCTAAAGCTGTTGGATCTACAGTATTTGAACCTACTTGATTCTAATTTTAGGGATTGGGAAATGGAAGGTAGATCAAGATTGAAGGAAGTATTTGAAGCCTTAAAGCACTTAACTGATTTCCGAGTCACAATTAGCAGTGACACATCTCTCCAAAGTTGGTTAAATTCCTACAAGTTACAGAAGTACACAACAGCTCTATCTCTTGAGAATTACAAGGCCAACTCTTTCTGCATAACTACTACTCCTGAAAACATGTTGCTAGAAATATTCAAGGTTATTGATTGCGAAGAGTTGAGAGATATTAGTTGGCTAATGGAGACAAAGAAGGGGTCAGAGAAGGAGTCAGCCTGGAGGCCAGAGATATTTTCACTCCATATCGTTGATCTTCCCAAGTTAGAGATAATAGAGTTGCCGCACATGTGCTTACAGAACATTGAATTTATTTTTATTACTGGTTGTAAGGTGTTGGAGGACCTAACCTGGCTTATTCATTCTAACAAGCTTGAAAGGCTTCGGCTAGTGAATCTGCCAAGACTAAAAAATATAATAAATGCAGAAGAAATGTTGATACCATTCTCAAATCTTAGATGGATAATTCTTGTGGATCTATCGGCATTAGAAGACATCTACCCCGGTGCCTTGCCTCTTCCGTGCCTAAAGGAAATTCGCATAGAAGAATGTCCAAAGCTGAAGAAGCTCCCATTTGACTCCAACACTGCTAAGAACGACACTTTGATGAGGATTGAAGGAAGCAAGGAATGGTGGGAGGCGCTAGAATGGGATGATGAAAGCATCAAGTCCAATTTCCAACAATATTTCACCGACATAGAAAAGTAGCAGCAAGGTAATAAAGTAATTAACCCTCATGATGGATTTTATTGTTTGTAATGTAGTTTTGGACGATGATAATCGTGACTTTTAATTTTGTTATCCCTATTCCCTACCCATCTGATTCCAGTCGAACTAATTAATTTATTAATGAGCTTTCCTAAAACAAAATAAATGATAATTCTTTTCCACTCCAGTTTGTGTGAAAATGGGCATATATATATATGTGGATCTTATTTATCAATTATTGGGCTTAGGGAATAAAAGAGAGGTTAGTGAATTAAATAAATAAATATTTATCAATTATAACTTATTTAATTTATTAAAATAAATAAATGAATAATTTAATTAAATAAATATTTCATTTATTATTGGGACAGGATAGGTACAAGCTATCCCAAACCGACTTAACCTTTTGATATTACGCTCAAGGGGGGGGGGGAGAGAGAGAGTAGGGCGGGAAATTCATAGGGGCAATATAGAATAAAGTAGTAGAATCCCTAAGCTTTTTTAATTAAGTTTCTTGGAAAAAATTACTTAAAATAAATAAAAAATTAAACATATTTTGATATAGGGTCTAGGTAGGGCAGGAATTTCACTCCACATCCCCATCACTTTCCTCAATCAAGTATCCCTATTAATCCCCATCCTTATTAGTAAAACAAGTAAATAAAGAAAAAAAAATTTATTTATTATTGAGATAGGATTCGTACAGGTTATCTCAAACTAGACCCAACCCGTTAACAAAATAACAACCCTAAATATTGGACTTGAGAAGAGAGAGAAATAATTTGTTAGTGAAATAAATGATTAATTAATTTAATAATTTTGTAAATTAAATAAATAAAAATTTATAGATAATAATTTACTTAATTTATTAAAGAAAGTAAATGAATAATATAATAAATATTAATAAATCTTACGGTGACATAATTATAAATAAATTATTTAGTAAAATAAATATAAAAATAAATAAATTAATATATAAATAAGGAGATACATGACAAGTTATCGTTATTTTGTTTTATTAATGGCATCATTATAAATAGTTACGGTATTCAAAATATCTATTATAACTTTTATAATTTCATTAGATTAAATTATTTGTTTTACCAAATTTCATTTATTTTACWAAATAAAATTTTTATTTATTATTGGTTTTGTATTAGAAATCTATTATTCATTTTTTCCAATATTATTCTTTCATTTATTAGGAATCTATTATCGGTTTTGTACCCTTAAATGCAAAAAAATATTACAAATAATGTTAGTATGTATATGTATTGTTTAATTTAGAAAAAAAATTATAAAGATTAAAGAAAATACACAATAAAATWAACAATTCATATTAAAAACAATATATATGTAATAAAAAGAAAATATTTATTTTTCTAAGTACCTTGTCAGTGACGTCTGGCCCCAAGTGGCTTGTGACTCAGGGGGTCCCTGGTGTAGTGCAACTCGATTGCTMTCTAGGGGAGATGACCTGCTCCTCTTTACGGACAACGGGAGCTGAAGGACCATCCTTTTCTCTTTCTTTTTCCCCCTAGGGGGTGAGGTCTTTATATACTGGTGATCTGATAGGTTTGGTGAAGTTGGCCCCGTATCTTTGCTGCGGCGATCCACTGCCAAGTAACGTCCTGGGGTGGCCTGTTACTGCGAGGRCTGGCATGCTGGTGGGCTAGCATGACCATTGCAGGGTACGGTCCTGTCAGGCAGTAGGCAACCACCAGAGATGGTAGGTATGGTGCCGTCAGGCGAGAGACGTRGGTGCAACCTTCTGGTACGGCTGTCAGACGAAATGCTTCCCGTGAGGCTCCGGACGAGCTGTCCTTCTGCGAGCAGCTTGGGGGTGAGCTATTTGTGACGAGCTCCTTGGTGGTGAACAGCCTGGTGGTGAGCTCCTTGGTGGCGAGCCCCGAGCTGCCTGGTTGTCAAGAGGCTGCACTTAATTGTCATGAGGTGCCAAGTTGTCACGGGGGTAGTTCTACAATGGAAGAAACCCGTGCGGCGTCCAGCCCAAGGCAAGTCAGGACAAGCCTTTGTATGCTGGGAGGCTAGGAGTTGCCCGAAGGGATGGCTCCCCAATGGTCAGTAGTGCTGGGTCATGACCTCAAGTCGCATGGCCGGGGCACTCTACTGGCTCTGGCCGGTCCATGGGAGGCGCCACTTACGTGCTAAAGGGGGATGGTCGTAATGCAAGGCAACTATGCGCCGAAGAGGTGGCTTAGCACTGATGTGAATGGATCTCCTATATGCCGATGATGATGGGCACCTGTGTGCCAAGATGATTGGACAACCGTTTGGGCCGGAGCACACCCGTGCGCTATGGGCAACGGGATAGCTCGATCAGCTTGGGCAAGGGGCTGGCGAGGTGAAGGGTCATGCTTGAGCAAGGCCTGCATGCCAAGCCTCCCTTGAGCGTCGGCAACGCAGTGCCGGTCCATGCACTGTCCCCATGAGCATGTAAGCGCCCATGAGGAACCCTGGTAGCCATGCTAGCCATTAACCAGGGCYGCCYCRYAAGGGAWRWWGGTCTAGGAGTGCCAAGGTTAGGCACCCAAGGAGGTCGACCACCCCTCCTCAAAGAGTACGTTAAGCTTTTAGAGGTCTGCCTGAAGATGACATCAATTCTCCCAATAATCTTACAGGCAAAAATGATGATGGTGTCCCTTAACGTAAGCCTGCCAAGCGTAGCCAAAGCTAAGCCTGTATCAGACCGTGACAAGACGTCATAATGTCACTGGAGGGCCAAATCCGCCCTCATCAATTGAGTTGCATCGACTGAGCCACTTTGTAGAAGCTACCTAAGATAGCTCCATCCAAGAGTTGATTTTTTGGCTCACTTATTAAGTCTATTTTCGACTTTCTAATTTTTTATCAAACATGGCTTAATGGCTTTCTAGGTTTTCTCAACTCGTGTAATGTTAAAAGTCTATTGCATAAAAGACCTCCTAAATGGGTATTGACTCATAAATTAAGCATTCTCTCATTTTTCACTTCGATATAACGAAAGGACAATTAAGTTGGTTGCAAATTATAGAAATGATTCAGTAAAATGCAAACTATAGAGTAGGTTTTTGTAAATATGTGAAACTACAGGAGAATTTTAGTAATTAAATGACCCGTTTTCGAGTAAAGGCACCCACTTATTTGATGCTTTGTATTTTTGAGAGAGAGACAAACACGTGTATGAATGGGCTCTCTAGTATCGGGACTTTCATATAACTAATGGCCACACCACAATTATTGTTGAGCTACCAACCATATATGGGGCTGTCAATGTGTCAGGTCCAACCCCATGAGGTGGACCCAAACAGATCGGGYAGGTTTTGGGTTATATATATACTAGCGGAGGGGGCCCTACGTTGCAGGGCTCGTTCATAAACTATCAAGCTCGAGATCGATTCGAATTAGAAACTTGAACTCGAGCTCGAGCTCAATTCAAGTCAAACTCAAAAGTTTGAGCTCGACTACCTTTGATTGCAGGCGGGGTGTCGAGCAAAGGTCTCCCTTAGTTGACAAGGTGTCGAGCCAAGGTCTTCCTCAGTGGTCGATTCGAATTAGAGACTTGAGCTTGAGCTCAAAAGTTTGAGTTCGGCTCGGCTCGAACTTGATTACCTCAGTTGGAGAGAGAGAGAGTGAGAGAGCTGGCATTCTTGTAATTTGTAAGAAAGAGAGAGAGAGTGGCATTCTTGTAATTTGTAAGAAAAAAGTAAGAGAGAGAGATTTGGTAGGAGAGAGTGGCATTCTTGCAATTTGAAAGAAAAAAGTAAGAGAGAGAGAGTTGGTAGGAGGGAGTGGCATTCTTGTAATTTCTATGAAAAAAGTCAAAATATATTGTTAGATTCCATTTTCCTCATTCTTAGGCCTTCTCAAGTACACGTTTCATCTTAATATATTTACTAATGGAGGGGGCCCTACGGGGCTCACTCATAAACTATCATGCTCAAGCTCGATTCGAATTAGAGACTTAAGCTCGAGCTCGAGTTGAAAGCTTGGAAGTTCGAGCTCAACTACCTTTGATTATAGGTCTCTCAAGCAGCCGAGGTGCCGAGCCGAGGTCTCCCTTAATTGCCAAGGTGCCAAACCGAGGTCTCCCTCAATTGCTGAAGTGCTGACCTAAGGTTTTCCCTAGCAAGCGAGGTGTCGAGCTAAGGTCTCCCGCCTCCCTTAGTTGACAAGGTGCCGAGCTAAGGTCTCCCTCAGTTGTCGAGGTGCTGAGCCGAGATCTCCCTCACTGACTGAGGTGCCGAGCTGAGGTCTCCCTCAGTGGTCGAGGTGTCGTCTAGCTCGAGCTCAATTCGAATTAGAGACTTGAGATTGAGCTCAGAAGTTCGATCTCGGCCCGACTCGAACTAGACTACCATTGATTGCAAGTCCCCTAGCAACCAAGATGCTGAGATGAGGTCTCCCTCTGTTGGAGAGAGAGTGACATTCTTGTAATTTATAAGGAGAGAGAGATGGCATTCTTGTAATTTGTAAGAGAGAGAGAGAGAGAGAGATTTGGTAGGAGAGAGAGTGCCATTAGGGGTGAGCAAACGATTTAAATGAAAAACCAAAATTTTTGGTTCAGTTTTTGGTTATTTTAGTTAAAATTGAATTTCAACAATATATATTTTAATATATATTGTAGTGTATATTTTAATATATAATATATATTATATATTAAAAAATATATTATACAATGTATATAATAAATTATATATTTTAATACATAATATAATACAATATAATCTATTATATACATATTATATATGTAATATATGTTAATATATATATTATAGATAATAAAGTTCAACTAATTTGGTTTTTTCGATTAACCGAATTTTTAAAACTGAAAACTAAAATCGAAATTTTTGGTTTTAACCGAATAATGCTCACCCCTAAGTGGCATTCTTGTAATTTGAAAGAAAAAAAAGCAAGATAGAGAGAGAGTGGCATTTTTGTAATTTGAAAGAAAAAAAGCAAGAGAGATAGAGAGTTGGTAGGAGAGAGTGGCATTCTTGTAATTTGAAAGAAAAAAAAGCAAGAGAGAGAGAGAGAGTTGGTAGGAGAGAGTGGCATTCTTATAATTTGAATTAAAAAAAAAAGCAAAAGAGAGAGAGAGTTGGTAAAGAGTGGCATTCTTGTAATTTCTATGAAAAAA